ACAAATGCATCTCTACTTTTCATTTCAACTTTTTCAGCTTTTGTCATCGGACCACATTTTTTTCCTTCAAGCACCCGCCTCCTGAAAAGGATCTCGCTTATCTATCCAAACCTACTTTACATCATATTCTATCCTACATGGCATGCGAGACATCACCTTGAGGCTATGCGTACACGCCCTAAAAGGCGTAGCATGCCGTCACGTTACTCACGTACTACGTTTCTCATCAACCACGCGCGTGCTTGGATTCGGCCGTCGGCTGCTTCCTGTAAAATAGCCGCGACTGCGAGTGGTAATATTCTTCCCGCCTAAACGCAGCCGCCATGGTGACGCCGCATGCATGCACACCGGAGACTGGAAAGTGGAGCGGAGCGGAGCATCTTGTGGCGGGCATCGCTGGATTCCCCGACGCCCGGTCCGATTGTTAATCAAAGCGAAACGGAACCTGGAAAAGAGGAAGCGAAGGGGGGCGGAAGCGACGAGGCTCGCTCGAATCGGGCAGGAGGGAGGGTCCAATGCAAAACTCGTTTCCGTTGGGAGAACAAGTACTACTGGTAGGAATTAGGAATCGGTCCAGTGAGAGTGATCTGGACACAGGCAGGAAGGACATTCTCCCCTTCGTCGACGGCGTCAACCACCCAGCCGTTTGTTCGACAGGCTCGAATAATCATTCCTTCACGGCCGGTGCTTTGGAAAGAGTCTCCATGATGCTTTCGAAAGTACTAGTATTTCCAGAGTATCGATTTTGTTTTTTTGCCACGACTTCCATAAATATGATTTCATGATGAAACTTTGTAATATCTTAGATCATTTGTCAAATCTTGTCATAAAGAAAAACAGATTTTTTTTGAACATTTTTTAAATGTTAACTTCACGTCCTACTAGTCGTCGTAAACTTCTGCTTCGGTTTTGGAGGAAAAAAATTCTGCTTAGTAGCTTGCTCACAGACGATTCTCTCCTCCGATTTCGTCGGAAGCCATCTTCCCGTCCTCTAAAACAGCATAGCGCAGCCACTAGCTGGTAGGCTCCAGCACCACTATGCAATGTTCCTTTTACATTTGCAAGATGGCCCACGGGAGATGATGAGCAGGACTGACATTGCAAGGATGGCCCAAATCAGAGACCAGCTAGGCCAATACCTGAGCAGAAATAGACCTAAGAAGAGGGGGTGCAAACTTTACTGCAGCCATGCTACCACCTCACGCCTGGAATGCACGGAGAAAAGATCCTCCTGGTAAATCTAACGAACATAAGTCTGGGATCTATGTTTTGGTTTCCTGGAAGTAGCATGCTAATGACGAGGCGAAGCGATCAAGGTCTGGCCGAGCTTGGAGTTGTTTGGCAGGAATTAGCTCATACAAAAGGTGCCCAGAAGTTAATCCCATGCACACTCTTCAGGAAATGTCTCACGGAATCTGGAAACTTGGAAAGGCACCACCCACCCAGTCACCACTTGCCTTATTTCCACTAAGCTACCTTAAAGATTCTCACCAGAACCCAAGCAAAAAAAGAAGAGTGTCTGCCAGGATTGTGCTTTCATATATAACAATCAGGTACGAGGTTAAGCTCAAAGTAAGCTTTACCGGCAGCTAATAATGGTGCAAACTCGTTAGTTTCAGAATCAAGCAGTAGGCCTTTCCACTCCTCCGTCCCTTTCAGAAGATGAAAAGACAAAAACAAGGTTAAATTCAGACGTCCTGTGTTGCATTGATGGTTTGGTAGATCCTTTTCCCATGCAATATCTCGGACCATACTTGATCGCTCTTACCCTGAACTGCAAAGAGAAGAGGGCAGCAGCACATGCGCGCTTGCGTGCGTGCCCCCACAACTTGCGCCCGGACGGACAGCTCGCTCCCGTCATGAACCCGAAGCACGGAACCGAATTGACCCGCAGCAGCACATCGGACAGTCTGAATTCAATGCATCACAGGAGTATGTATGTTTTATCTCTCCTCACAAAATCCTTCACCTCTCCTTGTCCCCATCCTCCCTCATCAACTGCAGGCAGGCTGGACACAGCAGCGAGAGGCTATTTTTACTTCCCGGGCTTTACGGGTCTCTCTCCTTTGGGGAAAACCCAGATGCGGATTTTAACCCAGGCTTTGTTGACCCGTACGTAACCAGGAAGAGCAGCGTGGTCGTAAACCCGCGCCTAACTTCAATCATTTGGGCTGATCCGACCCATCTTTCTTGCATGAATAATGGCAAGACAAGGTAGGAGGAATCACTTGGAAGAAAAGGATGTATCTTTTCATCACAAAGTAAAAAAGGGTCAGCAAAGCTCACCCCAAACTACACACTCCATTGATTTAAGCTAGAAGGCCCGAAGCAATTCGTAGCGAAGATGGACTCAAAAGTGCAGTTCAGCGGTTCCAACAAACACACTACCATTGCGCTAACTACGCCCCCGTCGCAGCGCAGTTCTGGACTTCAATTCCACCAAAACCAAAATGCATGCTGATATTATGCAAGCACTAAAGCCTAGCCGACGCGAGTTCACTTAGCTACATGCGCGAAGGGTAGCGCTTGGCCTGCTCACGGACCTTGTTCTTGTACTCTGGCATGTTCTGCAAATGCAGGCACAAACAAGCAGGGAGTGTTAAGAGAGCACAGCCGTATTAAAACTAAAGGAGACGTGCCTTCAAGTTAAGCAAGTTCTAGTTACGGGAGATAACCTTTTTATAGAGTTCGTAGCATCGATGCTGTGCGGATGAGTCAGGATTTGGGTCATCAAGCAACTCCTGGATGCCCACCAAAACCTGCTTCACTGTAATTGAAGGTTTCCATGCCTGAAAAGGATGAGGCAGGTCATGAAAGATCAGCGGGGATATTGGCATGGTGCAGACACATGCTGGAAGGGAAGTTTCAGTCAGTCTACACTCACACCACCCAGGATCGATAGGCATACTGCTCCAGAATCGTAGACATTGATATGGAAGAAACCTGCTGGGAACCTGCAGCTAGGAGCGGTAGTTGGGTAATTATCATCAAATTGCATAGTGAGCGGGTAATATCCACCTTCCCAGTCAGTCTGCAGAAAAACAAAGTTATTGCGTTAGAAAAGGTCAGTTTGCTGAGCTACACAGCATGGACTAGAGGCTAGAGAGCACACAAATCTGTCGTAAAAGAATATTTATTGTAGTACTACACTATTCACACACAAAGAACTGAAGAAGTATCAGATAAGAATAAGTTACAGACTTACAATGCTGCATTTTATACACCAAGTGTCTGTTTCGAATTTCATAGGGGTTTTAAGGGAAAAGTTCAATTCAGTTCCCACAGGATGGGGGTCTATCTTTTCTTTCTCATCGACAAAAGACTCAATGTATGGTTTAATGCACCCATATTCGACAAAGGACCATCAACAATGGTAGTTCAATAGAGGTGAACAGTCCAACATCAATTAGGGTTGTTTGCATGACTAGAATGAAACAGGTTGTAGGCTCGTGGTCATCATTATTGAACTGTAATTTGTGAAGCAGTAAAAGCGGGCATCACAAACAAAGACAGCAGAATATTGAGGTAAATTGTAGCTTACAAGATTTTTATCGAAATTGTCAGTCTGGCCTTGAGAATAACATTTCAAAATGTTTACAAGAGAGGATTGAATATCTAAAACATGTTTTTGCGAAATGAATATTCAATGTGCCGCTTATTTGGTTTCATCTTCGAGAAGGCGAAAGAAATTAAGCAGCAGTGCACCATTCCATATTCAAACTTTGGTATTATCTGGTCATGCTTCTGTCCTGTATGGGGTCTTTGTTACAACCAAACAAGGTCAATCGAAATGCAATGTCCTGATAAGGTGGTCATGCTAAAACTTCAATAAAAGTACTATGCCAACCGAACAGAGACAGGATTGTGCAATCATTCGCTTGATGGGCTTAATGTATGTTATTGACACCTCACATGCATCCTTATATGTTGATCAATTGCCCAACACTATCATAAGCTTAAAATAGTTACTTTCGCATCATCATAATTTGGGACACGGACTGGCAAACTGACCCGTAATAAGATAGTAAAATGTAATCAAGTTTTATCCTGCAACAAAATAATACAGTGGCAGAGATAAAAAAACAAAAGCATTACAATGAAGCATCAAATTAAGAAAGATGGATCATTGGTTTGGTTCTTTTATGCAAGAGAACAAACTCAGATTCGATTGTATTAGGATATGATATAATATGTCGGCATGACAATGTCCGTTCATGCCCTGCTTTTTCAACAACAATATGCAATGTTCCGCTTGCAATAGTGAAGGGGCCAAGGGCTTTGTGCTACCAACGTCTAATGTTCAGCTAGTCGAAAGAGTTCTGCATATCAAGGATTGCAAAACCCTGCACCTACTGAAACCCCTCCTCTGTTAGTACAGAGGCACAAAGAGGTTCAGAGAAACTCTGAGAAAATCATGGTGAGATTTCTCTCGGGTTGCAATGTGTAACAAAATCAAACTACATAACCACGAGCAGGTTCAGAGAAACAAAACAAGAAGCGCAGATTTATCACAATTGCAAGCCACGGCACAGCGCGAGTAAAAAAGGACACAGTATCTATTTTCTTACCCCTGGCTTGCCGGGGATGACGCACCGCCAGAGCATCAGATTGACGGACCCATCCGGCAGGGTCTCCGGCTTGGCCACGAAGCCCTGAAACAGCCAAGAAGCCCCAGTGTCCCCATTACCACTTGCGTAGATCCGGAGAAAGAAACAAAGAAAATTGGGCAAAGAAAGCAGGTAGCTAGGTCGTGGTGCGGGCGCGCACATGGGGGTGGTTCTTGCGCCACGACTTGCGCTCCTCGGCGAGGCGGCCGCGGGCGATGCCTCCGGACGCCATCCAGGCTCCAACACGACCGAGCGGTCTGCCGCGCCGGGGTCTAGGTCGTCGCCGCCGCTTCGTCTTCTTCCGAGGACGCCCGCGGGGTCGCTCGGTGCCGCGGCGGCGTGGACTGTTTTCTACTTTAGGTTGCCTCTTTGGTTCGGCTGCCGGTCGGTTGGGGCGAGGCGAATGGGCAATGAATATACCAGCGACTTGCACTGCCGCAACCGAACAGGCGGACGACCATAACATTAGTTTTTTTATGAAAGGCGACCTAATATAGATTTGAACAAAAAAGTCTTTGATTTAAGAAGCCCTTGTTAAGAAAGAAATCTGATTTTAGATTTTTTAAGCATAAATCTGACATTATGGGAAATTATGATATCGCGAACCTGGTAATTTTCTTAAGTAAACATGGTAAAACCTGGCAAAAAACTGGATTTTTTTTGAAACTATGATGATTTTTATAGCAAATTCGGAAACTATACACCCTAATGCAGAAAAATCAAAAGTATCACCCTATCGGCCTCATGTTGGCCGAAGAGAGACTTTTCAGCCAACCGTTGGCCAAAAAAGACTTTTCGGCCAAGCATTGGCCAAAAAGGACTTTTGAGCCAACAATTGGCCAAAGAGTCATTCTTCGGCCTACACCTACTCTTCTATTTTAGAAAATTCATATCAATTAGGATTTTTAGTATTTTAATTTGATTCTTTTTGCATTAGATTAGAAATTTTATGAAGTTTCTGTAGATATCAAGTTTGACTAGATTTGAAAGTTTGAATTTGAATTTTTCATGAATTTGCTCAAATCACTAGATTGCCTATAATTTGAGCTAGGAGTATTTTTTTAGATGATTCTTTTTGCTACTGGTTCTTTGTGACTTTGTTTATCAGTAGTAATTAATTGGCGAATTTTATAATTATTTAAAATTAGTTTTTTATGAAAACAGTTCTGTTTTAGTGTTTTATAGGTTTTATGCCATTTCTTTTAATTTTAATTGCTTTAAATTGTTTTCTTTAGTTTTTTTGACATATTCTTTTTGTTTTTGTTTAGTTATCAGTAGCTATTTTATTTGTAGTACTTTTTTGTATTTTATTTCTTTTATCCTACTAGAAAACTTGTTTTGAGCTTCATAGGAGTTTATATTTAAAAGTTCCTTATAAATCCTGTACAACCATTGCCGTTTTATACATGAAAAAAAATACTTTTCCGCAATCTTGTTCCCTCCATTTTCTTTCCGCCATCTTCTTTGCCGCCATTTTCTCCCACCATTTTCTTTCCCGCCATTCTCTCCCGCCACACTAAGGAGTGCTGCATCAACGGAGGATGACTATGATGCCTTCATGTGGAGTGCGAAACACTGTGTGAGAGAAGTCATAAGTGTGAAACACTCTCCGATGATGATGACGAAGCTGCAAACACTTATGACTTCTCTCAGACAGTGTTTCACACTCTACCAGCAGCATCGACGCAGGAGACACAGACCGTGTCAGGCGATGTTATCTACGGTCGTGGACAACATGAGGCTCGTTTTATAAGTTGAGAAAGAAGATGGCGATAAAGAAGATGGCGAGAGAGAATGGCGAGAAAGAAAATAGCGGGAAAGAAAATGGCGGGAGAGAATGGCAGGAAATAAAATGGCGGGAGAGAATGAAGGGAGAGAATGGCGGCAAATAAAATGACGGGAAAGAAAATAGAGGCAAAGAATGGCAGGAGAGAATGGCGGCAAAGAATGACGGGAGAAAATGGCGGCAAAGAAAATAGTGGGAGAAAATAGAGGGAAAAAACGACGGGAAAGAAAATGGAGGATAAAGAAAATAAAATACAAAAAAAGACTACAAATAAAATATCTACTAATAACTTAACAGAAACTAAAAAACATGTCAAAAAATAAAGAAAACAATTTAAAGCAATTAAAATTAAAAGAAATAGCACAAACCCTATAAAACACTAAAACAGAACTGTTTTCATGAAAATATAATTTTAAATAATCCTAAAATTCACCAATTAATTACTACTGATAAACAAAGTCACAAAGAACCAGTAGCAAAAAGAACCATCTAAGTAGAATACTCCTAGCTCAAATTATAGGCAATCTAGTGATTTGAGCAAATTCATAAAAATTCAAATTCAAACTTTCAAATATAGTCAAACTTGATATCTATAGAAACTTCATAAAATTTCTAATCTAATGCAAAAAGAATCAAATTAAAATACTAAAAATCCTAATTGATATGAATTTTCTAAAACAGTAGAGCCGGTGTTGGCCGAAGAGGGACTCTTCCTTTTTGGCCAGCAGTAGGCCGAAAAGTCCCTCTTCGGCCAACGGGAGGCCGACAGGGTGATACTTTCGATTGTTCTACATTAGGGTGTATAATTTCTGAATTTGATATAAAAATCATCATAGTTTCAAAAAAAGGTCATGGAATTCCCATGCTTGCCGAAGGAATTTGTTGTTTTTTTCTTCTTTCTTACTATGTTCTTTTTAGCAGTTTTGTTGTTTTTTCTTTTCCCTTTTTTATTTTTTTCCTTTTACTTTCTTAAATATACGTCAAATTTCCTTAAAAAATTATGCACATTTTTTGTATGCACACGGAATATTTTCTTAATACATGTTGAATATTGTTTGATATGCGTTAAATATTTATTAGATAGATGGTGATTTTTTTTCAAACACAAGATAATTTTTTGAACACATGTTTATTTTTTTCAAATACATGTTGACATATTTTTGAATGTTATGAAACACTTTTAAAATTACATGAATATTTTTATATTGTATATAAAATTTTATAATAAAATATATTTTTATAAAATTTGTGACATTTTTAAAATGGCACAATTGTTTCTGGATGGTATGATATTTTAGAAAAATATGTAATATTCTTTATAAATGTCACAATTGTTTTTTCGAAATGGCTGAACATTGTCTAAATGTCATGGACATTTTTTTGAATGGTAAATTACATACATTTTTTACGAATTATCCAAAAAATTACGTACAGTGCATTAACATTTTAAATATGTTAGAACGTTTAAAGAAATTAATCCATTGAAATATAAGCAAAAGTAAATAAAAATAAATTAGATAGCTTAACTAACATTTGTGGACACTAATAGGCTGGCCCGCTACAGCATCACTGGAGGCGAGCGCTCACTGTTTCTCTCCTTCTCTTTTCAACAAGTGCAACCCAATTAGCCCAAAAGTGAATACTATTCCCTCTTAGAGCATCTGAAGCTCGTGTGCATGTTTATGGGCAAAGTTGTTTACTCGTTGCTTGTTATGTTACTCATTGGAGAGTTTCCGTTCTTACTCAATGTGAGAATTAGGTCTTGGCATTGATAATTGGTAAATCTTAATTGTCCATTATAAATCTCGATCTCCTTAAATAAATTACCCGAGACATTGAAAAATACTATCTCGGAACTAGTACGGGTTTTTCTGCAAAGATTATTCTCAATCAGCCACCAACCATACTATTTCCCATGATCCCATCTATATCTTCAAAAGTGTACCCCTCAAACTTGCCATTCCATCTCATCCATTTTAAAAGGTCTATCCATTGAGTAATTCTAAAAGCAGTCAATTTTGAATAATTAAACAGAAAGTACTAGAACCTACTTATTTCTTATAAAAAATAGGGAGTATGGGAAGTTTTTTAATAATGGGAAAACATAGAATCTAACATATAAAGCCTCCTAGATTGGTAGTCACAACGAAGGCCTCCAGCGCACGGTACCACGCGAACAGCGAGGGCGCAGCGCACCACGCGAGAGGGAAGAGTGCGCCACAGCGAGCGAACCCAGGGCCGGCCCTGGGGAGGGGCAGGGGGGCGACCGCCCCGGGCCCCCGAAGTCCAGGGCCCCCCTCCCAGGTACGCATGTAGCCCATGGGCTAGGCAGCGATGCATCAGGAAAATACTATAAATCACACGACAACGTACGTCCTTCTCATTGTTGTCATAGCGATCCACAAGGAGATGTGGAGCCTGGCCCAGCGGATGGCCGACGGCCTGAAGACCATAGTTTACGTATAGCGAACAAACCCACGTCTTGTTTTTTTTCCAGCCCACCGATCAACTCAAACTCCAGTTCCCCCAATCGCAGGAAGGCCATCGCCGCCGCCGCTGGCGGCGGTGGAGGAGAAATCTGTAGGCCGTAGCCTCGTCCTCACCGCCGTGATCTCTTTGCTCTTTGGTAGGCAGGGGCATCGCTTTGCTCTCTTTTTATTGAATCCTGTCAGTTTGTATGGATTTTGTGATTTCTTCCCTTTCTTGCTCTACGCTGAAAAAGTAGTAGTTCCACTGGATCGCTTGGATTCAAAAATTAGGATTACCTCCAACAGATTCAGATGGTCCCTTCCTTGTAGAAGTTTTCAATTTAAATCAGTATCAAAGTGGATACAAAGTGATGTTTTTGTATCTGCATATGAATCAAGTAATACAATGAATCATCTGTTTATTTCTTATGTATGACATTTGACCCATTGTCCATGTTGTTTCTAGGGCTCAGAAGATGGTTCTCCTGCTTCATGCGAGAGCAAAAAAATTCTCGTCGAACATATATAAGGAGGCAGCGGACGTGTTGATAATGGCTGAGGTATATGCTTCCTTATGTGAATTTTTTTTGTCCTACTGTAATAAGCATGCATGTGCATCTTATAAATAGATACATTGACGAAATGATGTGAGGTCCGTAATGTGCAAAGATAGATTATGTTTGCAAATTACACGTTCAAAATAAATTATAGAATAAAAATGATATTGATATCATCATGAGCGACTTTGCATCTAGAAAGATAGAAACAAAATTAAGGTAACATATAAGGGGCCCCGGTTCTTGTTCCGCCCCGGGCCCCCGAAATCTCAGGACCGGCCCTGAGCGAACCCCTTTCTGGCAGCGAGAGCGGACAGAGGCAGCTGCAGAAATATCTCCCTCGTCACCCCC